TTCCGTATTTTTAATAAAGTGTGCTTTAGTTTTTATCTACTTACATGGAATGCTAAAATTTAAACAATTAAAGCGTATTGTACTTGAAATAAAATCAGTGTCCTTAAAGGGCTTACATGCATATAGTCCACCCAACGCCCGGTCCCTTTTTTAAGGGGCCTGGGACGTTTCGCAAGCCAAAGGCATTAACAAGTTGTCTGCCGCACAACTGGTTACACCTAATTTGAATTAAACTACAGTCGCAGATGACAGAAGCGCTCCTTTCATCTTTTGTAGGAAGGTCACCCAGCCCAGAGCGAGCGCCACGCTCCTTCTGGAACTAAACACATTGGCCCCGCCGTCTGTTGAGTCCTCCCCCTCACAACTCACACCTGGGTGGCCAAGGGTCAAGCCTGACCTCCCGACGACGCCAGCGCCTATGCCCTCTTCCCTTTGGGGAAGCGGCAGATGGCGAGGGCGCCGCAGCGCTGGTGCCGCAGCTCCCCGCCGCAGCAGGGCAGCAGCGCTGAAACAAGGCCTCGTTCGTTAGGCGCCCGGAACTCCCTCCGCCTCCCGCGGTGCGCCGCGGCGGGGCGGGAGGGGTCCCCGCGTCTCTCCCCGCCACCCCCCGCCAGGGCTCCCGGACGCTACACCTAAACGCGGCGAGACTCCACACCTCTGCCCCAACTCAGAACCCGAAAGTTTCTGTTCCCAGGGAGGGCGAAGCCGTGAGTCGCAAGAGCGCCGCACTCACTACCTGACACTGCAGCACCCACTCAGGAGGCGACGCCGCCGGCCGGCCACGGCTTCCCGGGAGGCAGCTCCTGCGCAAACCTTCGCGCGCGGCCAGCCCGCCACCAATAGCAGCCCTGGCTCCGAGCGGTGAGCCAATGGGAGCGCTCGGACTAGGGGGCAGCAGCCAATCGCTGCCCTCTCGTCTCTGGGGCAGCCTCTCCCCTTGCGTCCCCCAGAGCTGCGCGCAGCTCCGACCTGGCGCCCCACCCGCCACTCACCTCCTTCCCTCAGAGTCTAGACGGTAAATGAACTGTCCCCGGGGTACAGTTTAAAGGAACCGCAGCTTTTATTGTGTGCTCCGTTCTCTACCCGACTCAGGAGGGGCGATGGCACGCGCTCACCTCCGCCGCTTGCTTCTGCGGAAACTCACCGCACAGCAGAGCGTTTCAAAAATTAGTGAAGGCAGAAGACCGTTCTTCCCGTTCACTTAACCTCTATGAACCATTTGAACAGGTCGACTTCTGAGCTTAAACTAGAAAGACGACTTGATAAGGGGTCTGAAGAAGTTTCTCTTTGGCACAAGTGTGAAAGCGTTTATTTACTGAAGTTGGGGCGTGTTTGTCCGGGGCTCGAAGTGAATCAAGGGGAGAACAAGCGCTAATGCTTGCAAAAGGGCGTCAACACTTACCTCGTTCGTGGAGGTCTTCAAAATGAAACCACAGAGTTGCAAGGGTAATATTACCATTGTTTGAGAGCGTACTATGCATCAGGCTTTATGCTAGGTAGTTTACCTGCACTAACCCATTCAATCCTCACAACCTCCCTATCGCTTAATTCAACCTGTTTTACAGATGAGGAAATCGAGGCAGTGGACCCTTCATAGTTGTGGTCATCAGGTGAGAAGGAAGGGGAGTTGGGGGTGGGAATGGAGACAAAGAGGAGACTGAAAGAAGTCATCTGAGAAACACTAACTCAACTGAGCTATTTAAATAAGTAGTATTAGGGGCGCCTGGGTGGCTCAGTGAAGCATCGACTTCGACTCAGATCATGATCTTGTGGTCATGAGTTCAAGCCCTGCGTGGGACTCTGTGCTGACAGCTCAGAGCCTGGAGCCTACTTCGAATTCTGTGTGTCTCTCTGCCCCTCCCCTGCTCATGCCCTGTCTCTCAAAAAATAAATAAATGTTTTGAAAATTTTGTAAAAAAAATTGTAAATAAGTAGTATTAATGTTACTGATTGTACATCACTGATTTGACTTCACAACTAAAATGAATAACCACGTTAATTACATATGATAGTGTGCACATCCATGGACAAATAAACAGGTTATGTGAGGCAACCTATGAAGAATTACAAATGACCTGCTGTTAAGGACGTTTTAAATCTATATTCAACTTTTTTCTTTTGGAATTTATTCTAATAACCTAGTCAATATCAAAGGGGAAAAGGGAAGCTAGGGAGTTTTCTGTTTTGTTAAATCTTTATCCATTTTAAATCTTTCTCTTTGCCAAAGTGTTTTTATTTCTTTAAAACAATAGTTTTAGTATTAGTAGTGAGGTAGGAAATAAAGGAAGGAAACAAAACTTTTACAGCTGGTAAACATTTTATGTTTTAAATCTGGGCAGCCTTTCTCACTTTCCCGGAGGACTTACACAGTCTGATTTCAGGCAAGTTTTCTAATATTTCTCTATAAGAGTGGATTTTCTTTCAAGCAATGATTGCTTCAGAGGGCAAGACTGATACTACTCAGGCAGTGAGAAGCCCTTGATGCCTAGAGCCCAAGCTGAACAGGCAGATGCATGGGTTCACTTCCAGTTCTGTTGTCAGGGCCATCACTGAACCTAGGGGGCAAGCCCATGGTCATCCTCTGTGGGGAGGAAGGAAGTGAAAACAGCAATAGCATAAGGATTTGGCACAGAATAGGCTCTCAATAAATGTTGGTAGCATTTTCACTGCATATACATTCTAACTCACACATATTTTTTGTTTCTCTTTGGGCTTTCTTTTACAAAGCAAAACATTTTCTGGTTAGCTGACACTAAAAACCAGTAATTCCCACCATAAGTTTTATCAGAAAAAAAATCTTTTTGCTAATCCAGCCCCTGTAAAAGTCGGATATCTTCCCACATCCCACCCTCATGCCTCTTGCTCTGATGGGTTACAAAAAGTCCCTGCCAGCCACCCAGGGACTGGTGTCATGTTCCCAACTGGGAGACAGCTGGGTGGAGACTGCTGTAGTACTCAGGATTCAGAAAATAAAGGTCATTTTTTTTTTAGGGGCGCCTGGGTGGCTTAGTCGGTTAAGCGTCCGACTTTCGCTTAGGTCATGATCTCGCGGTTTGTGGGTTTGAGCCCCGCGTCGGGCTCTGTGCTGACTGCCAGCTCGGAGCCTGGAGCCTGTTTCAGTCTGTGACTCCATCTCTCTCTGATCCTCCCCTGCTCACGCTGTCTCTCTCTCCTAGAAATAAATAAAACATTTAAAAAAAAATAGTATCTCCTTTAAAAAAAAAAAAGAAAAAAAAGAAAAGAAAGGTCATTTTTAACTGAGTTAAAAGCATCAGGATCATATCTAGACCCTTTGGTAACCTACAAGAATCTTCCTGCCAACCTCTGGGAAGAGGCTGAGAGACCTGGGCTCTTAGAGTACCTGTGCTTAGTTGAGGACATGGCTAATCCTCCACTTCTATACAACTTCAGTGGAATCCTCCCCGGTGTATGGGGTTGGGGAGTAGCATAGGAAGGGAAGAGGGTGCTTTCCAATTTTAGCCCACAGAAATATATTCTTCATGATAATCTCCTTTCGCTACTATTAATTTTTATACCCATAAATAAAGCCATTGCTTCTTTGTCCTTCTCATTATGAGCTTCCCAAGTGACCTTGATGTGTATATTTTCTCTTCAGTAAAATGTGACACATACCAACAGCAAGAGATTATTGGAGAGGGTACATGGAGGAAAAAAAACTACACAGATCAGTAGATCAGCCCCTCCAATAATATCAATCCTCTTTTAACATTTGTTAAATGAAAACTAAAGTGTATGAATCATAAAAAGCACAGAGCAAGCTTCCCTTTTTGCTTCCCAAGGAAAGTCCTGTCAAAATGGTACATAGTAAGAAATGGTGATTCTATGATTCCATAATTCTTTTTGATGAGGAAGATGCGTTTTTTTCATGAAAGTCATTAGCCTCTCTCCTAAACATGAAAACTCTTCGCAATAATTAACATCGTTTCAGAAAACAGTTGCTTTGCCTGGGAGCTTGTGAAGGGCACACATTGAAAATAGTATATCTCCCTATGACAACACTACTTAACATTTATTTTATGAATCGTCAAAGTCTTCAAGTGTCCTGTGATTCATTTTATTATGGAGTCTCCTTGAAATTTGTTTTTTAGTTAAATTCTTTCTTTAAAGGATTTGCTGAAATCGGTAAGTGAACAAACTGTCATTTGTATCTTTATTTTTATTAAAGATTGCACAAACTGGACCAAGACCAAAATACTGAATCCACTGTACATCATTCATCGTAAAACAACATAAATCACATTTGTACTCTACCAAATAAGACATTTTCTTTAAAATTATATATTGCGTATATTGCGTGCTTTTAGATTCATGCTTTAGATATTTTACATTTGTCATTACTCTTTTATAAATAATTGCAACCTGACCAATTTGTACACCTGCTACTACTATATAGTCAATGCGGGGAGGTATAGTCTCTGACACGCGAACAGATGAAATGGAGACATTTGTATGGATGGACGGATATCACGTCTACTGAACTGTGACTACTGTTTTCCCTAGTTAGTGAAATACTAATGTAAACACACACACACACACACACACACACACACACACGTCGTTTCAAAAGGCACAATTTCCTCCACATTAAAGAAGCATTTAAAAATACATGGCAGTTAAAAATCGACGCCCTCAAGGGCGCTCAAGTTCACACTAATGCGATCCTAATCCTTGAGAGCAGACCTCCTGAGAGACTATCAGCGAAGTCCAAAGGTCTGGAGCGCACGGGGACCCGACGCGCTCCGGCGACGCGGAAGGCCGAATTTATTTGAACCGCTTCTCAACCTTTGCTCTGAGTTTCACTGTGGGACCTGCGACCTCTCATTGTCCCACTCTGGGGCCCAACCAAAATAAAAACGGCTTTGTCAATCGGATCGTTCTCCAGGGGCTCCTCTCTTCTCCCAAAACAGAACCACCCGCCCCTCCCCGACTTCTTATCTCCGTCCATGCCCCCCACACCCACCCTTTCCCGAGAAGACTTGTTAAGAGTCGCGCTCGCCACCTCCAGCCTCGGGGTCGCTCTGGTCGTCCGTGAAGCAGACGTCCACGTCGCTGTCGTTGTCGCTCTTGGGCTCCCCAGGCTCCGCGGGGTACTCAGGCCCCGCGCCCGGGCCGGCGCCCGCCTTGGCCAGCAGGTGCTGGCCGGGGTGGCGGGACTTGACGTGGCGCTCCAGGTCCCGGCGGCGCACCAGCACCTTGCCGCAGAACTCGCAGCGGTAGGGCGTGTTGCCCTCGGCGTGCAGCCGGATGTGCTTGTTCAGATTGCTGGGGTCGCCGAAGGGCCGCAGGCACACTTTGCACTTCAGCGGCTTGTAGCCGGTGTGCGTCCGCATGTGAATCTTGAGCCCGTACTTGCGCGAGTACAGCTTGCCGCAGTAGAGACACAGGTGGCCGGTCTTGGACTTGCCGGCGCCGCCGCCTACGCTGCCGCCACCCCCAGCGCCTCCCGCCGCCACGACGGCCGGCGGCAGCGTCCCCGCGTCCAGGCGGCCTCGGCTCTTCCCGGCTGCCATCTCGGACAGCTGCTGCGTGTGCATGGCGATCTCTCGGTCGATGCTAGCCAGGGAGCCAAGCTCCGCAGGGCTTAGAGCGGCAGCTGCGGCCGCCGCCGCCGCAGGCCCGCTGAAGTAGGAGATGGACTCCGGATACTTGAGCAGCCCGCCGAAGTGCAGTTTGAGCGGGTAATACGCGGCGGCGGCCGGGGAGCCGTAGAGTAGCTCCCCGTTGTAAACGGTAAAGGCCGGCATGACGGCAGGCAGGTGGCTGCACTCGCCACCCTGGTAGGCTTTGAGCCCGCCCGCGTCGAGGGCCGGCAGCGCGCAGCGCTCGACGGGCAGCCCGGCCGCTGAGGGCAACTGGGCGAAACGCGCTCCCGGCAGCGCAGGCGCCGCTGGCTGGGCGCGTTCCACGTGCTTGAAGGCTGACGCCTCTTCCGGGGGACCGGGGAGCAGAGGGAAGCCGCGCAGGCCCCCCGAGCAGGTTAGGCCGGGCGGCGGCGGCGGCGGAGGGGGGTCCCCGGCGAGCAGGCACTTGGAGTGGTGATGGTGGTGGTGCGCGTGGTGGTGATGGTGGTGGCCGGCGCCGCCCGCCGCGGGGTTCTCCCCGCTTCCCGGGCGCCCGCCCGCCCGGCCCGCGCCCAGGAACCTGCCTAAGGCCAAGCCGGAGCCGGGTTTGCCGCCGCCCTCCTCCCGGTAGGGGTCGCCATGCACGGCCGCGGCCGCCCTGGCCAAGCCGGTTGGCTTGAAAGCCGAGCGCACTCCGGGGTAGAAGGCCAGGCCGCCGCCCCCCGCTGGGGAGCCGCCTACGATGCCGAGGAAGTGGCCGTGTCCCCGAGCGGCCCCGCTCATGTCTAGGGCGCGGTCCGGCTGCTCCTTGCCCTTCTTGGACTGCCCCCACTTTGCCAGGGGTGGCGACGTGGCCGAGGGCGCAGAGGCGGCTTCGCGCTTGATACTCTCCCGCGCTCCGCAGGCCTGGAGAGGCGGCGGGCCCTGCGGGTGGGGCCGCAGACTGCCAGCCCGGGCGGCCGCGGCAAAGTCGGGCGCTGGGGGTTTCGGAGAGAAGGGAAGGCCATCCGCGGCCTGGGCAGCGCCTTGGCGAGCCGCGTGCTCGTGGTGCAGGTAGGCTCGGCCCCCGCCGCTGCTGAGCACGCAGTGGAAACGTAGGTGGGCTTTAAGGCTGTTGGGGTATCTAAACGTCCTCCAGCAGTACCAGCAAATGTAGCGCTCCTCCCCTGGGCGAGAAAGAGTGGGAAAGCGACCCCGTGAGAGGCGAACAAGAGAAAGAGAAAGAAAGCGCACTCAAGGCAAAGCCCAGATTTTGACCAGAGGTATGAGGAACAAGAGTTTTCTTGGGTCCCAGAGAGTGAGTTAGTTCGGTAGCCCGACTGTAGCAAGGACTCCGAGAAGCCCCAAATGGCCAACTTTGACACCATCTCATCCTCTGAGATTACTCAGAGGCCAAAGGGGCGACCTGGGCCTTTCCAACGAAGACTTCCTCCGGGCCATCCGAGCAAATCTTCCTCGGGAGGGCAGCGCTCGGGCAGGCTGGCCGGGGAAGAAACGAGAACAGAGAGCAGCTGTTGCTTTAAATCAAGTGTTGAGGCTGTGCTGTGCCCGGGCCCATCTGTTGGCGTTTGCAGAATAGGTGGCGTATGTCAAGGAGTTTGGATAAACTGAACAAAGACCAATCTAATGGTCGTGAGCGCCTCATTACCAGGCGAGACAATATCTTGTATGTATGGGCCATATGTAATCATTCCTTTTCATAGAACAATGCCTTTCATGACCATTACGCACTCTTCCCGCTCCCTCCCAGCCTTAAACATTTTGCCTGAGGTTTTCCTGGAGCGTGACCAACTGAAGGACCACATAGGGACTATAATCTGCTATTCTTCAAAATTATTTGTATCTTTATTTCCTCTTTAACCCCACTTAATTTGATGAGAAAAAAAGAAAAAGCCCTATGTCCTTATAGTCTAGAAATTGAAGGATGACGCTGCATTATTTTCTCAGTTGTTCCACCTGGTAATTAATTAACTCCTAGAAAGCCGCACCAGTCCAGGCTTAATAATAAAATCCTTGGAAAAGATAGTTTATTTTTTATGAAGTGATTATATGTAGATATGATAAAGATACTCAGCTTTTAATAAGTGTACAATTCTCTACCAGGAACTATATGCATGTTTCTGGTGCCAAGCGTCTTCTTGTGTTTAATATTATTGACATTGGGTTGTGGTTGTTTTTGTTTTTGTTTTTAATTTTGCCAAGGTCTGGGAACACCATCAAGGGACACAGGTATGAAACAGATTTTGATCACATGGTGGAAGATAATTTTCACTTTAAAGAGCTCTTGTTACATCTGGACAGAGAACAGAAATCTTGCCGTTGGGTTTCTTTTTTAGTGTTATGGTTGCTTGAGAATACTAAAGAAGGTCTCTGAGAAAGAAGTTGGGTCAGCTACAAGGAAGTACCCAAAGTTTGTCTGTCTCATTAAATTCAATGGAAAGGTTAAATTCCCTCCCCTCTTGCACACAAGCAGCTCAAACTTCTAAAACATTACTACAAAAACAACCGGAAAAATATCCTCGCTCTTCCTCCCTTCATGTATTTTACTTTTGGCTTTGCATAAAGCAAGAAGTCCCCCTAGATAACTAAACTGAAAGTTCAAGTAAGGATCAGTTCATTCCAGCTGAAGCCAAGGTAGAGCAGAAAGCAAAAAGAATGGGGAAGGGGAGAGGATTTGCCTCTGAGAACCTACCCTAATTGTTTCGGGAAGACTTAAGTAAAATCACTTCAATATTTCTGTTACAGCCCTGTAAAATAAATCTAGAAAAAAAGAGACTTGCTGGGTATGCTGATTTATCATCTTAAATAACCTCCCTACTCCTCCCTCTTTTTACCCCTTTTTAAAAAAGGAATTTTCAGAGGCTGTTCTAGAATGTCCTAGAATGACTCTAGTCAATCGCAAAGCCAAGTAAGCTTTCTTCCTAAAACAAAGGGTCCATATTTTCCTTAATATTACTATGGAATTGAAACCCACTGGAGTTACTCCATGTTTGAAGAATACCAGCCTTCCCTACTCATTTTTTCCTCTTTTCAAGATTAAGCAAATATGTTCTCTGTTCCAATATGTTCCTTTTTCAATTCTAACCAACTGACATGTTCTCTGTGGACTCTGATATCCAACTTATGTCAAAAGTATCAAACACACTTCATAAGTGACTTTGCCTCCTCTGCTTGGTGTAACCCTGAGGTTGCCAAAATTTCAAGTATATCAAAGGTGGGGAAGTCAGGGTACAAAAGAGCCCATAGATTCCCGAAAGGAAAATGGAGTCTATTCTGACATCTGTTTATAAGCTCAATTGGCTGAAATGAAAACACAAGGGCCACCACTCAAACAGGTTGCTTTTGTATTATTTGAGAGTGACTAAGGAGGGGTGTTCTGTGTAGAAATGTCTAGCCCCTAAAGGTCAGCAGCTGTTGGAATTGTCCTGTAGTGACGGATTTAAGTTCTCCACTACACATCTTTTATCGTGCTTCTCTTTTACTGGAAGAAGTTGACCAGAGAATTTAATATAATGTGATATAAGGAACAAGCTACTTTAGGATAATGTTTTATGAATACTGTACACACAAGTCTACCCACAAGACAGTGATACTTGGAAGTGAGGTGATTCATCATTGTGAATAAACTTCATTCTGTCTTATCCATGAATTCTTTCTTAATTCTCACATTTGTATTAATTTCTTTAACCCTATTTCTAAAGGGATGAGATTTAAGCAGGCAGTTTGGGAAGAAAGCATGTTAATAAATTTCACTGCATTAATTATATTGACTTTAAAAGAACTTGTCTTTAGGAGAAATTACAAATCTTAACAATTGGCAAGGAAAAAAGAAAGTCATGGAAGAAGCTTTGTGAATTAAAAGGGAGGTCTCAAGATCTTAACTCTTATAGGTTTGTTGGCGGTTTTTTCACAGTGTTCTTCAGTGGTCTAGGGAAGGTTTGAAAATGTTCTTCTCTTAGTTACTGCCCCTTATTTGCATAAATCCACTCTTGGCTTTGGAAGGGATCAAATAAATCTGAGAAGAAACTGGGATACATCCCAGATTCAATTTAAGTAGGGAAGGGGAAATGAATAAATACCATTTAAATGAAAGGGCTTCAGTACATGCCAACTGACCAGCTGTAAGTACCGTAATGCTTCTAAAATGCAGTGGAAATACATTACTCTCCTTCAAACCAGTGAAGAGAAAACCTTCCACCATCTAAAAACATTCCAGGTTTGAGTTATGCTTTTTGGAGCTCATTATATGTGAAGGCTTCTTTATGGATTCTTACTTGAGTCAATAATTGTCTCTGGGTATGCAATATGAAAGGATGACCCCCATGTTCAAAGAGTATTTTTTCCCCATGCCATCTCGAACCAGATTATTGCCGCTATTATCATTTACTGTTGACTGTAAGGTAGTAGTGATGACGTCGCTTCTCTGCTTGCACTGACAGGGAGCATGAATTCAGTTTTACACAGCTCGAGAGAAAGGCCCTGGAGTCGCGTCCAAAGAACGGGGAAGGGCTGGACTCTCACCCACCCGCGCTGGCCCGGAGGCCCTCTCTCGGACGCGGTACCTTTCTCGTCGTGCGTAGGAGTTGCAATTGTGGGGATGTCGAACCACTGAGCCAAGGAGTTGGAATACCACACGGTCAGCTCCTCCCCTGGCTGGACGTCTCGAAGCGCTCGGTAGAAGATCTGGGACACAAGGAACGGAACAGCTTGCTGTCATTTCCTGAGTAGTCGGTCTAAAAGCAACTAAAGGAAAGGTTCAAATCCTCACTCTGACGCTGGGTGACCCTGGAAAAGCTATCGGACCTCTCTGAACCTCGCTTCCCTCATTCTTCAAACGGGGAAAATAATAGTGTATGTCTTAGAGAGTTGTTGACACGTTTAAATGAGACCTCCAGTTAAAGCGCTTTGTTCTTAATATTGGTGACCACCTCAGCAACAGTTAGGTAGGTAGAATTGGCAGTGGGGGGGAAGCCCAGAGTACCTGTCCTCCTGGTAAGTCTGCAATAGCTTCGAGAGTCTGTTCCTGGGGGTTCCTGGCTGCCCGGATTAACCCTATCCATTCCAGAGGGGAGCCCCCCGACTCGTCCACCAGCTCCCCTCTCACCATGCGCACCTGCAACACAAGCAGTGGTCGTTCTTCCCCGCGCCACGGCCAGGCCCACAATCCAGAGGGAAAGTTTATCCGACACCCCACCCGACTCAGGAAAATGGTTGTGTTCGCTTCGGCCAGGCGGCTGTGGGCGCCTGGGAGGAAGGTAATTCCTAGGACCCTCGCTTGAGGGAGGGAAGAAGACAGGAGGCTGGCTACTGTTACAGTCCCCCTCCCGTCCCACCTTGAAAACACCAAGAGCGAGAACACCCTCCCTGGGCGGCTCTGGGGTGTCTCGTACCAAGACGTCCCGCACCCCACCCCAGTTCCTACTCTGGCGGCTCTGAGAGCGGCTGGAATGCCAGAGGAGAGACGTCAGCCCCTGAACCCAGAGTTACCCCACCTCCCTCTCGTGCCTCCCCGGGCTCACTGCACAGCGTCCAGATGCCGAGGTGCCTACGCGCCGGCAGCGAAAATGTGTGAACGAACAAAGCGGCCGCAGGATGGCCGGCTATTTAAAAGCAATTAAAGCGCGTTTATAGAAGAAGACTTTAGACCGCGGGGAAGAGGGCGATTAAGTGGGGAGCCGCGTGCGGGTCCGGCTGGCCCGGCGCGGGAGCAGTTTCCAACAGGAAAACTCCAGGCAGCGACCAGGCAAAGCTAACGCCCTCCCCCCACTCCCATCCCCACCGGACTCCAGCCTTCTTTCCCCCGTAGCTGTAGGAGGACCTTGCCGGCTGGGACGCCTCAGGGAGGACCGGAGCCTTTAAAACCTAGCTCTGCTCGGGGGTCTATAGGCAATTCGGGGAGTCAGAGCTGGCGGGTCGGCCCCGACGCCTCCCAGTTGTGACACTGGACCTCCAAAGCCTGGCTGCAGGCGCGGGGACCCGGTGCCCACGCGGATGGGCACTCCTCGCCCTCAGTCGGGGCCCCTGGAGGAGCCACTACCTGGCTCACTCTCTCTCCATCTACCCTAAACTCCCAGCAGGCATCCGCGGGGAAAAATACTCTGATGGCGGGTGGAGATGGGGGCCGGGGGGGGGGGGGAGTGTCTTAAGAACTGAGAGTTTCCCAAAGATTGTTTTTTTCGGAGCACCTGAGATTAAATTATTTTAAGGCTAATTTAAGCCTTAAATTAGCGCTTGAAGGGAAGAAGGTGAGAAAAGTCTTCAACGCCCTGCGCGCTGTGTAACAGAGAAAAGGAGCATTTGCAGAGATACTGCCACCACCCCCCCACCCCGACAACGCCTCCGCGAACTCGGGTTCTGAGTGGTCCCGGCACGTAAAGAGCCCCATGCACCCCACCCGGACGCCGTCCCCTCTCAGCCACTTCCTTTCCCCTCAGCTCGCCCCACGTCCCGCTCTCAGTTAATACGACTTCGGAGGAGTTGCTGGAGTCCCCCGGCCACCTGGCAGCATGGGCAGGTAACGACTCAACCACCCCTTTCCTCCGCTCGCCCTATCTACCCCTGCCAGGGCCAGGGCAAAGGGAGACGAACGGCTGGGGGCGGAGGTCGGAATGGCTAATACCTTTTTCTTGGGCCCGGGTTCCCTGCGGTCTGACAGGTACTTGCCCAGCTTGAAGGTTCCGGGCACCGGCCCCAGGCGCAGGCCGGCCGGGATGCAGCAGTCGGCGCTCACGCTGGTGGCCGGAGCGCGGGCTGCCCCGTGCATCGCTGCCGCCGCCGCCAGGCAGGCGCGTGGGCGCGCTGGGTGCAGCACAGGGCTCGGGTGACGGAGCCCGAGCGGCGCTGGAGCCAGAGAGCCGCACCCCGACGTGCGTCCTCCGCCCGCGCAGTGACGCGGGCGGGCATGCACTGCGCCTTTTCAATCGGGGCGGGCGCCTTTTTGGCACCGCGAGCGCAAGGGCGCGGAGTTTGGTGAGAGAGTTGCTCTGCGCAGCAGCTGCAGAGTCCCACCCGAGAGGGTCACATGGAGTGGTTCCCTCAGCCCTCTGCATAATCGAGGCCTCTGAATGGCTGGCGCACAATGGTCCAGGCGACCTTCCCATTCCTAAAAATCCAATTTGTCAAGGGCGAAGAAAAGGCGCTGGTGAATCAAAGGTCCGGCGGGACCATTAATCCTCAGCATGGGGTATTGTCCTCGAGACAGTTACGATATTTTAAGTGACAAATCCACTGTATAATTTCTCCATAAATTTTACTTCCTTTTATTGTTCGCCGACAAACCAGTTTTGGGAAATAAGTGACTACTTTAAGTCTACTTGGCTGATTCCTTTGAGCCTTGGTCTACTTCAAAGATTTTTAATTCTCTCCCTTTGGCTTTATTGTAAAGGAGATTAAACAAAGAGATGGGGACTGTTTGGAGGACTTGTTAACTTCTATTGATTTCTGGCGTGTGCCATACAGAAATTAGGCAGGTACTTGATGGGAAAACACCAGAAAATACCTACACTTTTTAAATAACGACCATATTACCATTTCAGGGGATTGGGTCCAGGCCAGTCGTCTATTTAGAACCGCTTTTTCGTTCCCCCTGTCCAGTTTCGCATCGAAATATGAAGGGTCCCGACGAGTTTTGGTCGACGTAGTGAGTTGTACACCACGGCTCTCGGGTGCGCCCCGGACCCGCACTTTCTCTGGGAAGGGGAAGGGGCGTCGGGGCCGCGGCTTTGCAGGCAATCCTGTGTCTTGTCCTCACCAGAGGGCTGAAGAGGGGTGCCGAAGACTGGGTCTCCCTCACATGCCAACCACCGACTCAAGCCCTGATTGGCTTTTACCTTTTAAAACGAGGAAATCCTTGGCGCTAACTTAAAAAGGAGAGAGAGAGAGAGAAAAAAAAAAGGCAGTCTATCAAAGGTTAGGGAAAAGGATGAAGCGGGCATTAGCAACACCTGCCTTTAGCCCAGTTCATGAACCAGGAGAACGCGCCTCCTCCGGAGTGTAAACCAGAGTGCTGGAGGGCTCCTCGGTCTTTTTTCTTTTTCTTTTTTAAAGGGAAGCCTCCAATTTGTGCGGAGACATTTCTTTTCATAACAGAGCGGAGTAATTGGGTTCATCAGATGTTTGTGACCATTCTGCCTGCACCTGCCGCGCGCTGCTAATCCTGCGCGCCGATCCCCAAACCCTATAGACCAGGACGCTGATCCCCAAACCCTATAGACCAGGAAGCCGGGCCCGATGGCGTATCCCGGGAGAGGCCTGAGAGGCGGTGGGTTTCCGCCCTGTGTCGGAGGCCCAAACGCTACACTTGGGCAGAGGACTCCGCACAACCACTACACCGCATTCTCCACCCGCCTCTGCCCGCGGAAGGTGGGGTTCTTAGGTCCCTGGCCGAGGTGACTGGTTAACAACCGGCCGCCTGACGCCAGGTGGCGACACCTGTAACTCAGCGGTTCGTCCCGCCAGGCCCTCAAGAAAGCCCCGTAGCCCCCTCGATGGAGACCTGCCTTGGCCACATCGGACCCCGTCGGGACACCTGGGGTCCTTCAGTCCGTGCTCTGGCACTCAAGACTTGGGAGACTTCAGTGAATTACTTCAGAACCTCCTTCTTCTAACCCATAACATAGGAATAGTCATAGACATTCAGCTTCCACTACGCAGTTCCCTGGGGTGTGTGACGAAAGTCAACAGCAGTGATCTGTGGGTGGACTGAATGGCGCTCCAAAACTCTATGGCGGGGGGGGGAGGGGGGTGCAGGCCAGGTCAAGGGTTTCAGGCCTAACTAAGCATCTCAAGTCAAACGGTGCGGTGACACACGGACGACGGGTCTCAGTGCTAATTCCAAAGCCTGTGTAGACGCGGCTGCTGAGGGGAAGAGAGACACTTGTCAGGTCCTCGGGGCCGCCCGTTGTGGCCCCTCCGACTGCAGCCACGCCGTGACCAGGGCCGCTTTCTGAGGGAGCCGCCACTGAGTTTTCCTCTTAATCCTCCAACTGCTCCTCTTAGGGCTGCAAAGGCTGCCGGCGTAGGAGAGGGAGCCTTTGATCAGGCGGCCCATGAATGGCAAAAGCCGGGGGAGGGGAGGAGGAGAGGAAGCCGCTCCGAAGTCGAGGGCAATAAATTTAAGCCATGAACATGTCCCTCTAACCTCTGGCCTGGCGACTCCGGGATGACACCCAGTTTAAATTACCAGCACCGTGAGCGGGAAGGGGCGAGCTCCGGGCCTGGGTTCGGGGCTCCTCCCCGGCCCTCCTTAATGAGTGAAAAAGCGTGAACGACACGCGAACAATTTTATCAATAGGACCATGTAAAGGCCGACTGTGAGGAAAGTTATTTATTAATATAGCCAATTGTGGCTGGTTCCCAGCCCCTCGAGAAGAAAGGGACTGCGCCAGAGGCATTCACACCAGCTCGCCGAGTTTTATTCTGTCCTGTGGCTCGGAGTTGAAGTTCCCCAAGTGAAATAAATTGTCCACAAAGGAGGAAAGGAACACATTTTCTTTTATTTTTTCTCCCCTAAAAAGCAAGGGTGAAACCAATCTAATGTGCCCAGTGGAGCAAGATGGGCCGTGAAAGGCTGGGTGTTAAAAGTAAAAGCGGGCTGTGCAGCAAATGGGATGGAAAATTAAATGAAATTAAATAGCTTGAACGGCCGTATTGTCCCTTATTAAAAAGACACATTAATTACATGGTCTCAGCCTTATTCAAAGACAATGTTGAGACTCAATCAAAACATTCCACTCGGCTTTTTTATGGACTTAAAATGGGCGTCCAGGGGCCCCGTTTAAGCGAAATCCGGTTTGTGCCAAGGTGCCGGGCGAGGCGGGTTTGGGGGCGGCCCTGCGCGCTGCCCACCGCGGAACCGCACGGGCACGACGCCCGCCCGGTAACAGGTTACGGGTCACGAGGCCCGGGTGCCGAGCGCCAGCCGGAGCTGCAGGCTGCGGAGAGCCAGCGGCTCCCCTTCCCGAGCCGTTTCCGGGCCCGGCTGCGTTGGGGGGCGGTCCCCGCGCGCGCGGAGCGGCGTCCGGGAGCCGGGCTGGAGACGTCGCCGGCGCCGAGCACGTGCGACCCGGCTGGGCTCCGCCTAGAAAAAGGGGCCCCGCCGGCCGTCGGGGCTGAGCTCAGCGGCTCCTTCCGGGATATCCTTCCGCAGAGCTGCGGGGCGCCGCGGCGCAGAGCCCTTGGGCTTCGGCTCTCCGGGGTGGGGGTGCGGGTGGGGGTTAGCGGGGGGACGAGTTGGCTGCATCCGGAGACCCTTTGTCTTGAGGACCCGCGTGTTTGGGGAGTCGCCAAGCCCCCCGACCCTGGCAGAGTATCGAACCCCAGGACGGAGGGAGCTGCGCGAGGTCAGGGACCGCTGGCGAGGACGCAGGGGAGGCAGCGAGACTCGGGGGAGTCAGGGCCTGAAGTGACCAGGGCGGCGCCCCCCGACGGTGTCCGCCCCGGTCGGGCCGACGGGTCAGCGAGGACCAGCTGCGCGGCCCCCGAGGCGCGGGTGGGACATTAAGGCCGGGTCTGAAAAGGGCGGCGGCGACGGGCTCTGGGAACGCCACCAGATGACACGCAGGCGACGGGGCCATTTTCCCCTTAATTACGAGGCCGGTGGGTGCGCCGCGGCCGGGAGGCTCCAAACGCGCGGCCAGGACGCAGCCCGGACGCCACTGGTGGGTTTTGTGGTGCCTTTTTTGTTGTTTTTTAAGTCCCTCATTGGAAGCGGCTCAATAAAAGTATTCACAGTGCCTCTCGAGTTGCCTTTTAACCGGAGTTCCCCCAACTTATTTCTTGGTTCTTTCGGTTGACATGGTGCAAAGAAAAGTCAGCGAGCGTGTTGCTGAATTGCAATGTCTCGGGGCACCTCCACATTCAACACTCCTCTGCCGGCCGCTGCCGAATGAGCCCGCACTCAATTCGATTTTCCTTGCTGTTGGGCACATTTAGGAGCGCCTCTATTTGTGAAGTTCATTTCTAGGCAAATGTATTCAAGAGCTGATGGGAATGAATAGGACCGTGTGTCAGCCGCCCCTAATTGGGATTAAAGCACTTAGGAGCATATGCAGAGAGTGACAGAAATTCTCAGGTTGCATTGTGCTCAGACTTCCACCCGCTCGGACACTCCTCCTCCAGGGGAGATTTATAAAGCTTGCCGGGAGAAACTGAGGAAAGAAAAAGCAAAACGGAACAGAACCGGGCTAATGGCTCACGATGGGGATGTGGTTCAGCAAGTGGTGGTGACAGCTTCTGAGAAAAGATGCAGGGGATAATTGAACGCAGGCGGGAGAGCGGGTCTGAACTCTTTAATCAGAAAGGCGGAATGTTAAAAGGGGAAATAAAGATGTTCTTGAGATTCCCAGACGGTTTTTTTTTCCTTTCCATTCTCCTCCACCTCCACCCCCCCCCCCACCTCTCCATGAAGAGGTTGGCTTTCTTCCGCTTTATCTCTGCCTCCCATCCCCACCCCTAAAGAACATACCCTCTCTTGGGGCAATAACAAGAACAATTTGGTATTTGAATTAAAAAAAAAAAAGTCAAGAGAAAGAAAAGTATAGGGGTTGTTTGTATGTTAAAAAGAATGTCACACTCAAATCAGTCAGTGAAAATATTTCCTGATGTGTGAAAGTGTATGTGAAATATACACCCACTATGTTAAAACACAAGCAGAATGGTAAGTATTCACATAAGGTCAGACTGTGTACGTGGATATACCGTCTCTTGTATATCATCACCTTGAAGTGGCTGTTGCTTTCTGAGCTGAAGGTACAAGGCCTTATA